GGTTAAAAAGAGGTCAGTCAATATACTGCCTGGTTGGAGGTTTTAAACATAGCTACCATATACCACAGAAGGAAAAGAACTAAAATTCACTTCCAAATACTACCAATAAGAATTAACGCCGATTTTCAAGCAAAAGATTATATGACTGAATAAGAGCATTTGTCATTATCTGTTAATGTTATTTCTGAGTGCATCTGTATTTGAGTAACTGTTTTTTTTTCTAGACTCAATTCACTTTATTCATGTGAGTGGTAAATTTTATCTGACATTAACCTGTAACTTATTTCTGAAAAGCTGTTAAAAATTTAGTGTTAATTTCTCTTTTCTGTTGCAATAAATCATCAGAAATAGTTTTTTTTTGTTTTAAATATATATTTTATTGATTTTTTTTAAAAAAATATATTTTATTGATTGTTTACAGAGAGGAAGGGAGAGAGATAGAGAGTTAGAAACATCGATGAGAGAGAATCATCGATCAGCTGCCTCCTGCACATCTCCTACTGGGGATATGCTCGCAACCCAGGTACATGCCCTTGACCGGAATCGAACCTGGGACCTCTCAGTCCGCAGGCCGACGCTCTATCCACTGAGCCAAACCGGTTTCGGCTATATTATTGATTTTTTACAGAGAGGAAGGGAGAGGGATAGAAAGTTAGAAACATCAATCAGCTGCCTCCTGCACACTCCCTACTGGGGATGTGCCCGCAACCAAGGTACATGCCCTTGACCGGAATCGAACCTGAGACCCTTGAGTCCGCAGGCTGATACTCTATCCACTGAGCCAAACCAGTTAGGGCAAGAAATAGTTTTTATTTCTAACTAGAAGCCCAGTGCACGAATCCATGCACCAGTGGGGTTCCGTGGCCTGGCCTGTAGGATCAGGCCGAAACCGGCTCCCCGACAACCCCCACGGGGTCCCGGATTGCGAGAGGGTGCAGGCCAGGCCGAGGGACCCCCACTGGTACACGATCGGGGCCAGGGAGGGATGCGGGAGGGCTCCAGGGTGTGTCCAGCCCATCCTGATTGGCCGGGCTCCAGCAGAAAGCTAACCTACCAATTGGAGCGTCTGCCCCGTGGTGGTCAGTGTATGACATAGAGAGCGGTTGAGTGGCCTTAGCATATCATTAGCATATTATGCTTTGATTGGTTGAACAGCTAACTGGACGACCAGACACTTAGCATATTAGGCTTTTATTATATAGGACTAGAGGCCCAGTGCACAAAAATTTGTGCACTCGGGGGAAAGGAGGTCCCTCAGACCGGCCTGTGCCCTCTTGCAGTCTGGGACCCCTCGGGAGATAACGACCTGCTGGCTTAGGCCTGCTCCCAGGTGGCAGAGGGCAGTCCCAATACCTAGGTGCAGCCCCTGGTCAGGCTCAGAGCAGGGCCGATTGGGAGGTTGCGATGCCACCCTCAGTCACGCTCAGGGTAGGGTCGATTGGGGGGTTGGGGCACCACCCCCTGTCACACTCAAGGCAGAGTCGATGGGGAGGTTGAGGCACCACCCCCTGTCAAGCACAGAGCAGGGCCCATCAGGGGGGGTGGGGCTCCATACCCTGTCATGCACAGAGCAGGGTCAGTCAGGGGGTTGGGGAGCTCCCCCGTCATGCACAGAGCAGGGCCGATCAGGGAGTTGAGGAGCCCCCCCCCCCATCACTCACAGAGTAGGGCTGATAGGGGAGTTGGGGCACCGCCCCGTCACACTCAGGGCAGGGCGGATCATGGGGTTGGGGCGCCGCCACTGTCACACTCAGGGCAGGGCAGATGGGGAGGTTATGACTCTACCCCATCACACACAGAGCAGGGCCCTTGGGGGGGGGGGTTGGGGCGCCGCCCTCTATCACCCACAGAGCAGGGCCGATCAGGGGGTTGGGGCGCCGTCACTGTCACACTCAGAGCAGGGCCAATGGGGAGGTTGTGGCTCCACCCCATCACACACAGAGCAGGGCCCGTGGCGGGGGGGGGGGGGGGGTTTGGGGTGCCGCCCTCTAACACTCACAGAGCAGGGCCGATCAGGTGGTTGGGGCGCCGCCACTCTCATACTCAGGGCAGGGCCAATGGGGAGGTTATGGCTCTACCCCGTCACACACTGAGTAGGGCCCGTGGGGGGTGGGGGGGTTGGGGCCCCGCCCCCTGTCACACACAGAGCTGCAGGGTGATCAGGGGGTTTGGGCACTGCCCCCTGTCACACTGATCCCGGTGCCGGAAGGCATATTACCCTTTTACTATATAGAATAGAGGCCTAGTGCATGGGTGGGGCTGGCTGGTTTGCCCTGAAGGATGTCCTGGATCAGGGTGGGGGTCCCCACTGGGGTGCCTGGCCAGTCTGGGTGAGGGGATGATGGCTGTTTGCAGCTGGTCACACACCCTTCAGGGTGGGGGTCCCCACTGGGGTGCCTGGCCAGCCTGGGTGAGGGGCTGAGGGTTGTTTTCAGGCTGGGACTGAAGCTCCCAACCGCTCCTTTTTTTCTTTTTCTTTTTTTTTTTTTTTTATTCTGGGCCAGCTTTAGCTCTGAGGCCTCGGCTGCTGAAAACAGGTTTCTGGCCTTTGTTTACCGTCTGTATTTGATACAATGTTGCAGTCCGGCTGGCTGAAGCTCTGCTGAGTAAAGCACGTTTCTGGGTTTTTTAGCTTCTTTATTCGCAACATAGTTGCTTAGAGTTGCAGCTGAGAGGACGGCAAGTCAGGCGGGGAACGTTGGAGTTCTCCATCACTGAAGCAAGCAAGCCTCCCTGTTCGCATCAGCTGCCTGGCTGCCGGCCGCCATCTTGGCTGCCAGTTAATTTGCATATCTCGGCCCTACTCTGTGAGTGACAGGGGGATTAGCCAATGGGAAGGGTAGCGGAGTGACACTAATTACCATGTTTCTCTTTTATTAGATTAGACTAGAGGCCCAGTGCACAAAAATTTGTGCACGGATGGGGGGAGGGGTGTCCCTCAGCCCCACTTGTGCCCTCTCACAGTCTGGGACCCCTCGGGAGATAACGACCTGCTGGCTTAGGCCTGCTCCCAGGTGGCAGAGGGCAGGCCCAATCCCTAGGTGCAGCCCCTGGTCGGGCTCAGAGCAGGGCCAATTGGGGAGTTGAGGCACCACCCGCTGTCATGCACAGAGCAGGGCGGATCGGGAGGTTGTGATGCCACCCCCAGTCACGCTCAGGGTAGGGCCAATTGGGGGGTTGGGGCACCACCCCGTCACACTCAAGGCAGGGTCGATGGGGAGGTTGTGGCCCTGCCCCCTGTCACGCACAGAGCAGGGCCCATCAGGGGGTTGAGGAGCTCCCCCATGTCACGCACAGAACAGGGCCCATCAGGGGGTTGGGGAGCTCCCCCCTGTCACGCACAGAGTAGGGCCAATAGGGGAGTTGGGGCACCACCCCCTGTCACACACAGAGCAGGGCCGATCAGGGGGTTGGGGCGCCGCCCCGTCACCCACAGAGCAGGGCTGATCAGGGGGTTTGGGTACTCCCCCGTCATACTCAGGGCAGGGCTGATGGGGAGGTTGCGGCTCTACCCCATCACACACAGCAGGGCCCATGGGGGGGTTGGGGCACCACATCCTGTCACACACAGAGCAGGGCCAATCAGGGGGTTGGGGCGCCTTCCCCTGTCACCAACAGAGCAGGGTGGATAGGGAGGTTGTGGCCCAGGCCCCTGTCACACACAGATTCGCAGGGTGATCAGGGGGTTTGGGCGCTGCCCCGTCATGCTGCTCCAGGGGCCAAGAGGCCTCACAGCTCCGCTGATCCCGGTGCTGGGAGGCATATTACCCTTTTACTATATAGGATAGAGGCCTGGTGCACGGGTGGGGGCTGGCTGGTTTGCCCTGAAGGGTGTCCCGGATCAGGGTGGGGGTCCCGCTTGGGTGCCTGGCCAGCCTAGATGAGGGGATGATGGCTGTTTGCAGCTGGTCACACCCCCTTCAGGGTGGGGGTCCCCACTGGGGTGCCTGGCCGGTCTGGGTGAGGGGCTGAGGGCCGTTTTCAGGCTGGCGGGCAACTGAAGCTCCCAACCTCTCCTTTTTTTCTTTTTTTTTATTCCGGGATTTGCCTTCTATGGCTGTCACTGGAACTGAGAGCCGGCTTTAGTTCTGAGGCACGGCTCCAGCTCTGAGACCTCGGCTGCTGATCTGGGTTTGTTTGGATTCTATAATTGAAACACTGTTTCAGCTCCAGCTCCGAAGCTGGCTGACTGAAAGCAGGTTTCTGGGGTTTGTTTAGGTTCTATAATTGCAACATTGTTTCTTAGAGTGCAAGCTCAGAGGCCAGCAGTGGCAGGCGGGGAACCTTGGCTTCCTCCATCACTGGAGCAAGCAAGCCTCCTGTTCGCTCAGCTGCCTGGCTGTCGGCCGCCATCTTGGTTGGCAGTTAATTTGCATATCTCGCTGATTAGCCAATGGGAAGGGTAGCGAAGTTATGGTTAATTACCATGTTTCTCTTTTATTAGTTAGGATTAGCTTGATACATTACCATACTAATAGAAATCACTCAGATAACACTGAAATATATTGAAATAGCTATAAAATATACAATGAAATCAATATTACTAAATTGGTTTTTTGTTTGTTTTGTTGATCCTCTTCTGAGGATATTTTTCCATTGATTTTTAGAGAGTGGAAGGGAAAGGGGGGTGGGGGAGAGAGAGAGGCACTGATGTAAAAGAGACACATTGATTGATTGCCTCCCACATGCGCTCTGACCAGGACCAGGGATTGAGCCTTCGGTACATGCCCTTGACCGAAATTGAATCCTGGACCCTTCAGTCCACATGCTGATGCTCTATCCACCAAGCCAAACTGGCTAAGGCTACATTGTTAAATTGAATTTCTCCTACTGGGATTGAGCCCGCAACCCGGGCATGTGCCCTGACCCTCAATCAAATTGAGACATCCTGGTTCATGGGTTGACACTCAACACTGAGCCACACTGATAGGGTTTGAATTAGGACATTTTATATATACATATACATACATATAAAATAGTACAAAGGGAATAAAACTTACATCATCTCCAGCAATGTAGAATGATAGGGTCTGGCTCCCAAAATTAAAATCTACCCAAAATTCCTCAAGTTTTTCATCTGATGGTATTTGCAGCTAATAAAATAAACATATAAAACTAAAATAAACATATAAAACTAATATATCCTATGCTATTAAAAGTGACAACGGAGAATTATGATCATGTAATTCATAGTTGAGTGTTGTTTTTTAAAAGAGTATAGATGGAAGGGGAGGGAACATAGAGGAGACAAGTATTGCATTTAAATAAATTTAGAAAGAATAAAAAAAATGCTTAGTCTTATACACAGAAATTAGCTAGCTCAATCATGAATATTCCAAGTGCAAATAAATGTTGAAAGTATTAGTTTGAATATATTCATGAATGATAAATCAATAATGAAATTAAGGAAACAGAAAAATATTTGAAATACAGCTTTTTGTATTTCATTTATCTACAGCTACAAATATGCCATGTTATAAAATGTCTTTTAGATACAGAATAATAGACCAGCTGTATTTTTTGTCTAATTATGACTATTGTTAAAGTTTTTGTCACTTTGTAATCTATAATTCACTTGGCTCTTCCATCAAAATTTATCCAATAACTAAAACACATGTTAATTTAAAACTTACCTCATATTTATCAAGAAATGCTGATAAACAAGGAAATGTAAAGACCCTGAAATAAGAAGTTTGAGGTAAAAAAATAAATTAATCAGACTTTACAACAGCATAAGCTTGACTAGCCATAGAAATCATGCCTAGGATCAAAGGGAAATCAGGCAGTGGTCAAAGCAATTTAAATAAAATCATATCTCTTTTATTACTTTAAAAAAGAGCTTAATGAAAATTTATTTCTGTAGAGAAAGCATATTATCTTGAGGGTACTACTCAAACTACCATTATGTCTGAAGTGATTGACTCTGAGTGGAGATTGCTATTACATTCCATGCTATTGACTCTGAGCAGAGATTCCCATCTTAGCGTGTACTATTAATACAATGAAAGTTCCCATAGACCTTAGATGGGAAAAGAAGAGAAGTGAATAATACTCCTAATAAAAATGGCTGAATTCAGTGAATATTTCCTTGGTCAGATATGATTACAAGTACTCCCATATAATTATCTCCTTTAAACCTCACAACAAATGTATTAAGTAAATATTATTAGTATTCTTATTTTACAGATAAGGAAACAGAAGCGAGTAAGGTTAAATAATCTGCCCAATGTTAGAATAGAAAGAGAGAAATTTATGATTCAAATCCAAATAGTATGACTTATTGCACTTACCCCTCAACCTATTTTTCATTTCCTTAGTAAGTAAAGAAAATGTGAACTCAGACATCCAGTGTATCTGAGCACCTATAAGGTGCCAGGCACTGCAAATACTGTGCTCTTCTGTCATTATCAAAGTGATAAAAGTTTACATCACTTAGCCTCACATGCCTACTCCTGAGATTAAATAATCTGCATTAAATTTACCTTCTCTTGTCTCCAAGCATGCCATTTACAAGGTTGAGAAAAATCCTGCAATCCTAATTTTTTTAAAAAAGAGAGACTTTAAAAAAGCATAGTAAATTGACAAATCTCAGAGGGAGGGGGGTGACAGGGAGAGATTAGCCAAAGAACTTATATACTTACTAGAGGCCCAGTGCATAAAATTCGTGCATGGAGGAGAGGGGGTGTCCCTCAGCCCAGCCTGCACCCTCTCAATCTGGTACCGCTTGGGGGATGTCCGACTGCCAGTTTTGGACATCCCTCTCACAATCCAGGACTGCTGGCTCCTAACTGCCCGCCTGCCCACCTGCCTGCCTGATTGCTCCTAACCGCTCCCTACCAGCCTGATTGACACCTAACTGCTACCCTGCTGGCCCGATTGCCCCCAACTGCCCTCGCCTGACAGCCTGATTTCCCCCAACTGCCCTCCTCTGCAGGCCTGGTTACCCCCAACTGCCCTCCCCTGCTGGCCTGGTTGCACCCAGCTGCCCTCCCCTGCTGGTCCCATAGCCCCCAACTGCCCACCCCGTTGGCCTGCTCGCCCCCAACTGCCTCCCCTGTTGGCCTGATCGCCCACAACTGCCCTCCCCTGCTGGCCATCTTGTGACGACCTGAGGGTGGCCATCTTGTTATGATGTCACATGTGACGCCACCTAGGCTTTTATTATATAGGATATGTATAGCCCATGGACACAGACAATAGTGGGTTGAGGAAGGGACTGTGTAATGGGGGTCACCTGTAATAATGTCAATAATAAGAAATATATTTAAAAAGCATATTAATTTTCAAAAGCTATTAATAATTTACTAGAGGCCTGATGCACGAAGATTCGTGCAAGAATGAGCCTTCCTTCCCTTGGCTGCTGGCACCGCCTTTGCTCCGGCTGGAGCCACCTTTCTGCCTTCGTTCCGGCCTAGAGCTGCCTTTTCGCCTTCCCATGCTGCCCAGAGGCCCTGAGAGGCTGGGGCGGTACGGAATGCCTGCGTCGTCGCCATGGCCACAATACAAGCATTCCGCCCCACCCCTGGCCACTCGGCACCTGTGTATGCAAATTAACCTGCCATCTTTGGTGGGTTAATTTGCATACTCATGCCTGATTGGCTGCTGGGCGTCGTGAAGGTACGGTCAATTTGCATCTTTCTCTTTTATTAGTGTAGATTTTTATACTACTTACTGTTTCAAATTCAGAGTCTTTAATTCCTTTAAATGCATTAGCAATAAAATCCATTGAAAACCAATGACATGCCAGTTTCCGTCTTTGTTTTTCTGTCGTCATTCTACATAAAGCCTCTACGATACCTACTTGTAAGTCATAATCTTGAAAAAAAAGTTAATGTATTATTTGAAATTATAAAAATTAAGAGTTTATAAATGTCAATATATTTTATAAGGTATTACAACTAGCAAGATAAAGAAAACATTAGTGTAAATTACTTATCTGTTGCCATTTCTTCATATGAATTAAAACTAGCTCCTTATAGAAATGAATACAGCCCAAATAACAAAACAAGCTTACTAACAAGAGAGAAAAAAATTTCTAAAGGTTACTTAAGAGACCCTCCTAAATATTCAAAGACTATGCATTCCATTATTATTAGAGTTGTGAACTATAAAACAACTCAATGGCCTATAAATCACAGAATCTTTGTTTTCCTTTTGTGTAATATGACATTTAAAGTTATTCCAAAGTACTTTGTTTATTCTATAGATAAAATCACAAGATCAAAATTTTCTAATATGAAACTTAGAAAAGAAAATTTGAGTTCTTTTAATAAACACATTGCTTAAAAATAAATCTATCAATCCCAGGAATATTTAACCTCCTAACTTCATAAAATACCATTTGAGGCACTTCTTAGCAAAAGTAATTAAAATCTATTGGAAAATTAAGTTATTATTCATAAATCTACAACTTGGGTACAAATTATATTTAACTCCTGCTTAATTATTTCAGTTAATTACTAAAATATTTGTCATTTAATTACTTGCTAAAGTAATTAAAATTGCTTGACTATAGTTTATAATCCTCTCACATCTCACTACATTAAAATGTTAATATATTTTGACTAAAACAATTCTATTATGTGTGTAATAACTTCAAATATAAACATTTTGAAAAAAAACTTACCTCCAGCATCTAAAATCCTTTCTCCCATACTATTCCTATGAATCAAAAGAATAGATTATATACTAGACTAATATAAATTAAATAGAAAGCCTATATGTTGGGGGAAGGGACTTCACTAAAATTTACAATTGGCTAGTATCACACTTTTTCAGAAATTATATCCATAAATTATAATAGAAACCTACAACAGTTTTATGAGTTTTAATTATCAATGCAATTCATGGTTGCCTTATAAAGCATCCTTTAAATTCTTAACTTGAACCACTAATTAAAGCAATATAGTAGAAATTATTACATGAGATTTAACATTTCTTGGTTATAGAGTATTTTCCTGGCATCTTGAGGTATTTTGTCAAGCATAGCATTCATATTTTTTAGAGTCTACAAAAGAAAAGAAAAAAGATAAGCCATCAATATTTTATATTCTGTGAAACATTACAGAAAAATATTCTAGGTATATAAATTTAAAAGCCTATTTTTTTCTTTATCATAGCACTAGAGACCCAGTGCACAAAATTGTGCATGGGTAGGGTCCTTAGGCCTAGCCTGTGATCACGGCCATCTTCTGCCCACTCTCCAGTCCCCAGTCCTGCCCTGCCGCCACCTCCACCCTGGTTCACCGTGGTTTCCCGTTCACCATCCTGCAATCAGAGCCTGTGGGCTGGGGGGAGGGACCGAGAGGTGGTCAAAGCACCTCACAGTGACTGGTCAAGCGGTCATTCTGGTTGTGACACCATTATGGTACTGGGCTTTTTTTATATAGGATTTTTTGCAGGGAATGGAGAAAGGTAAAGACTATCCTATATAATAAAAGGCTAATATGCAAATAGGCTGAATGGCAGAATGAACGGTCACAATGATGTGCACTGACCACCAGGGGGTAGATGCTCAACACAGGAGCTGCCCCCTGGTGGTCAGTGCGCTTCCACAGCGGGAGCGCCACTCAGCCAGAAGCCCTGAGCTGGGCTCATAGCTGGCTGGTGCAGCGGTTCCACGGCAGTCGGACATCCCCCGCGGGCTCCCAGACTACGAGAGGGTACAGGCCAGGCTCAGAGACACACCCGAGTGCACAAATTTCATGCACCAGGCCTCTAGTAAAGTGTAAAATAGTGAATACAAAAAAAATGTAGAATATAATAAAAAAGAATATACCATGATTTCTATACTAAAATAGTTATACTCTTTGCAATACAACATATGTTTATTATCACTTTACGAACTAGGAAGGCAAAAATATTAACTTATTAATATTTATTCTTATGGTTATACAAATGTACAAATATCTACACACTATTAAGGTTATTTTTAGTATTTAATACTTAAGAACTCCTAATATTAGATGGTATCATTTATTTTCATGTGAGATATATGTATACATAAGCCAATATGGTTATTAATTTTCAATAAATAGGTAACATATTCATCATGTCAGGCAGTGAATTAAGACAACAGATATATACTACATGATAAATAATTTAGTGCCAAGATAAAATGATTATTTAATTTGATAAATTGCTACCACGTTTTCTTCTTTCTCATTTTTAAGTTTCAAAAGAAAAATCTAACAAATGACTTTACCTCCTGCTGAATACAAATATTCACTCTTGAGTCAATAACCAGGGCACAAATTCGAGGTATGAAACTTTCCACTACTTGCTTTTTACCTGAATAAAAGTGTTAAATTATTGATAAATGTGTATTTTAAATTCTTTTAAAAGACAGTCTTTACTTATATGAGTTAATGTAAAGGAAGTACTGGTTCAGTTGAGAAGGTCGACTTGACAGGCCTGGGCATCAGGAAGCATACAATTCAGTCCTGGTTCTGCTATGAACTAGCTATGTGTGTGGCTTTGGAAAAAAACACACACAAAACCAACAGATATGACTGAATTCTGGCAAAGAAATCCAAATCCAGCTTCTTCTTTCAGGCACATAAGGCACTTTTCTGGATGAACTAAATATCATTCAAAAGTGTAAACTTCTATATTGAGATTTTTAGAAAACTGACCTCATTAATATTAATAACTCAAAAATTCCATAATAGCCATCAATACTTCTGAGCTATTCCTAAAAGCTAACCGTATTCTCAAAAGACTAGGCTTTATCAATACTAAATATATTTAAAGAAATTTTCCACATGCTATTTCATAATACAAATTTTAAAAATAATTTTTAAAAATGCCAATAATGTAACAGAACATTCCAAAGTGACCACATTAAAAAAAATCACTCAATTAGGGGAAAAGATATAATAATTTACTTTTAAAAAACCCTGTTAGATCACTTTATAATCACTAGTGGTTTAAGACTGTTTTCTACTCTAAAAATGTAAGAATTCAGGCTAGATTGCAAAGAAATCATTGAAAAAGTAGTAGCTACTATTGAAATAAACAGTAATTGAGTTTTTTTTTTAGTGATACATGGGTATATTTTAGAGAAAACTGCTTAGTAAGGCTACTTTAAAGTGGGTTTCGAGGTTAAGACCTAAATAAATTCAATAGTGAGTCATGAGCATATCTGAGGTAGATCATTCCAATGTGAGGAGATGGCAAGTGCTAACACAGAGAGCAAAGTAACAGTGATCAATGAGGTACTGTCTCCAAATGAGGACAGAGAAGTTGGGTCTCAAAGACATAGTAAACAATTTTGATATCTAGACAACCACATTTAGCTAATGATCAATGGCCTAAAATTTTATATCTATGTAATTCTCAACTATCATATGATTTCTTTTGTATAGTAGTTCAACTAAAAGCACATATGGTCTTTCAAAGACATTTTCAAAAATGTTTAAATAATGAGGGACAAATTAAAACTTTTTCAAAATGTAAACTTATTTTGAGAAGGTGACTACATAAAAAGCAAGTCTACTAGTTTTTCCATCTTATAGGGAAATCTCCATTAATTTTTTTAAATTACAGCTAACAAAATAGCAACTGATCTTTAACATTTTGGCTTTGATGGCAGCAAATAGCAGCTGTTCCTTTATGTATAAATAATTCACCAGCCTCAGTTACCAATTCTAGTTAATTCTTTCTCAAGCAACACAGAGATAAACATAACTTGGACTGACTGCTTTTCATAAGACACCTGCTAGCCATAAGTGAATGGAAGAGTTCTCAGTGGACTATTGAAAATTTTGTTCCATTAGCTCAAGGGTTGGCAAACTATGGCCCATGAACCAAATTCAACCCACTGCTGATGAATAATACATTTCACCAGCAAGTACTCTGGAAATGTTTGAATTTATCATGTTTTATTGAACTAGTAGCATCAAGGTGAATTTCATTTACTTTCATGAACTTAGCTATCTTCAGTTACCAGTGAATGATTTTGGTAATAGCTTGTGCTGCAGAGTCAATAATGTTTCTTAATGACCTCAACCCAAAATTACAAGGCAAAAATGTGCTATATAAGAAACTTATAATTCAGTAAAGTCATTTTAATGACACTAAATGAAGTTATTTGCATTACAAGTAATGCCAACCTTCTTTCTGTACTTCCTGGGTTGTCAAAAACTAAAACAAGAATTGACATCTCCATTCCCACACACATATTTATAGGGGATATTTTTTTTTTTCAAGTTCCAACTACAGGTCCAGCAGCATTTTTAGACATTGATGTAAGTGCAAGGGAAAGTTTCCATATGTGAAAATCTTTTTAATTGTGCAGATGAGGAGCTTCTACTTAACCTTCAATTAAAGTGATTAATCTGCAGTGCAATGACATTTTAAAAGGCAAATATTAAGAAAATAACTTAATATTAATTCTATAAATGCTTTCTAAGTGATGAATATGCTCAATTAAGAATCATGCTTATAGCCCTGGCTGGTTTGGCTCAGTGGATAGAGCGTCGGCCTGCAGACTGAAGGGTCCCAGGTTCGATTCCAGTCAAGGGCATGTACCTCGGTTGTGGGCACATCCCCAGTAGGGGGTGTGCAGGAGGCAGCTGATAGATACTTCTCTCTCATCGATGTTTCTAACTCTCTATGCCTCTCCCTTCCTCTCTGTAAAAAATCAATAAAATATATTTTAAAAAAAAGAATCATGCTGATAAACTTATAGCAGTATTTGTCATTGGCATGAAAAGATTTTCTAATGCAATATATATATATATATATATATATATATATATATATATATATTCTCATTACATATAAGCATCAATAAATGAATATAATCAATTTTGACTAGAGCAAAAACTAACTCTGAACCTGAATAAGTGAAATATCATTCCCTCAAAAAAGAGTGCTATTCTTCACATTAGTATACCTGTATTACAAAAACATCATACTCAATTATTATGTTTTGAATTGCACCAATAAAACATTTGTGGAAATGTGTTTTCTTTCTTGTTATAGTACCTACATATTATCCTCAATTTTTTTTCTGGCCCACAAAACCTAAAATATTTACTATATGGCCCTTTACAGAAAAAGTTTGTTGATCTCCGAATTAGATAATAAATTCCTAATATTGGGAAAATTGCTATGAGAATTGCAAAATTATACTAAAACTCTAACTGCAAATTACTGTTCCATAAAAGAAAATGTTTATTATACCTTCATCACTGATGCCATATACGACCTGAAAAGCAAGGAATAATATTAATATTTTACTGTCTTATATTATAAACCATTATAAATAGTATTAAAATAACAGGTTAAATTTGAACTCACCACATAAGCACTAATTATTTAATTACATTACACAAGATAAATGCTTTACAATCTGAATAGGTTAATCCAACCAAGTCACAAGCCATTCTGTTACTGTCTTTTAGGCTTAAGGCATATAGAACACAAATTGTTTTTATTTATTTTTAATTTAATTTTTTTCATCATGAACTGTGTTTTCTTTTTCTTTCTTTTCTTTGTTTATTGTTTAAAGTATTACAAATATAAGCATAACCAATGGACGCAAGACACTGGGAGGGGGTGAGGGCATGTGCCTGGGGTTAGGGGAGGCTGGGAGAAGGTCAATTGTGGGAAAAAAAGGAGACATATGTACAACTTGTTTTTAAATAAAGTGCTCGCTTAGGCAGCATATATACTAAATAAGCACAAGCTTTATAACATTGGTTAATCAATGTGATTTTACCATCAAAAGATCAAATAAGTCTTCTATCATATTTATAAGAGCTTCATCTTTTGAAGTTCCTCGACTCAGAATTATCTCCTTGGATTTTTCAAACCAGGCAACCATGTAAAGAAAAATGTATATTAGTTATTTTAAATTCAATTTTGAGAATGTACTTATCTATATTTGTATAAATAGTAAACCTAGGAATAAAGAAATAACAAAAATAAAAATTCCAGTATTGTATCAAAATAAATTTATGCTTTCAAAACATCGTGATTGTTTTTGTTTTTTTGGTAACTCACTCTATTTGCCCATTGTTTGGATGGAATGGATAAAGTTAATACTAATTCCAGGTAGAAGACCTTTATTTCCCCCTTCAAATTCCTTGTTCAGATACATTCATATACTAGATGAAAATAATAATCACAAGTTAGATTATTTTGGCACTGTTACTATTTGATAATTTTTGGTATTTTTCACTTTTATTAATTAAAATATTTGAATATAAACTACATCTCAGATACTGTTCAGGGCACTGGGTATACAGCAACGAACAAAACAAACAAAAATTAATGCCGTACATTCTGGTATGGCAGAAAGACAATAAATATTAAAAAATAATAAAGTCAGATAGTGATTAAGATGAGCTGAAGAGAAAATAAAGCAAGTAAAGTCGCTAGAGAGTCTTGTGGCCTTAAATTCACATGATTATCAAGGACCCTGTGAATAGTTTCCTTGTGACATACTACAGGTTATAAAAATCTTTATTGTAACTCAAAGTTTTATATAAAGTACCCAAATTTATTTTTCAACGGTTTGAAGCATTTACTTTATTAGAAAGCACACCTTTAATAATATTTCCCTCATATGAATGTTACATAGTCTATACTTATCTTTTGGACTAGTCCTTGTTTTATCAAAGTTAGAAGTCCAACTTGCCCCAAAATACTGATATTCCTGCTACATCTTCCAAAAGAAATCAAAATGATTGAAACAGTTTGGATATCCTTTTTATTAAGTTCCTGAAATGAAAAGTATACATTTAAACATCTGTTAACACAAAATAGCATGGAACTGGCTAAGGACTTTATAATTGTCACAAATCCTGAAAGCTATAATTTTAATCTTCAAGGACAAAGGACAAAATGTGGTTTTAAAAAAAAAGCAACTTGTCTAAAGCCAGTAAATGACAAACTCAGTACAAAAATGCAGATCTAGCAGTTGGTTGGCGTATCATCCCATCCACCAAAAGGTTGTGGGTTCGATTCCTGGTCAGGGCACATACCTAGGTTGCAGTTTTGAACCCTAGTTGGGACGCATATGGGAGGCAACCAATCAATGTTTCTCTTTCTTTCTTTCTTTCTTTCTCCCTTTCATCAATAAAAAACATATTCTCGAGTGAGGATAAAAAATGCAGATCTGTATAAATTCAAGAAACTTTAGACTATGATACAAAGTTACTCTCCATTCTAAAAAGCTCTAGGTATTTAACAAATAAAATAAACTTTTACGCAATCTTTTAGAGTCAAAGCAAATCTCAAATACTGGGAGAGACTGTCAATAACCACATTTTCTTGCATATAAACCTGTCTTACAAAGTCCAAGGTTTTGGATATTATTTTTTATATTTGCAAGCAACAAACTTTGTCCATATAACATGCAGAATATATTGATAGGCTTTTAAAAAAGAGATTAAATTGTTTAAACTTCCAAGATGTATACTATTTTTCACCAGTGGTAACTCTGCAAACATAGCTATTTTAGTACTTTATTTAGAAAATGGTCCAATATGCTATTTGGAGCTTGTCAAATTAAAAAACAAAAAAGCAAGTGGTAAAATAAAGATTTATTTATATAATTATAAGCGAGTTTGCCAAAGGTTTTTATTCATTTTTTTCCAATGGTACTTTCCTGGAAAGTAGACTGCTATCCAATAATGATAACAATAATTCAACAAAAATAAATATATTTACCCTGCATATAAGGTCATCCAACTTGTGGAAAAACTGTTTGCTGCATTTAATCTTCACATCTTCACAAACATCAATTTGTAAAAGTGTTTTCAAAGGTTTGAAATCATTTTTTCTTAAAGCATCATCAATGCATTTTTCCAACTGCTAGAGAAATATAATTAATGGCACATATATTGAGTCAAAACGAAAATTATTCACCTTATGCAATCTAGTAATTTGAGAATGGTTTTCACATGAAAATTCTCAAAAGAATTTATATAATATCAATGCACACTTATTTTTTTTTAAACTGCCCACTCTTTTTTTTTTTTTTTTAAATATATTTTATTGATTTTTTACAGAGAGGAAGGAAGAGAGATAGAGAGTCAGAAACATCGATGAGAGAGAAACATCGATCAGCTGCCTCCTGCATATCTCCCACTGGGGATATGCCTGCAACCCAGGCACATGCCCCTGACCGGAATCGAACCTGGGACCCTTCAGTCCGCAGGCCGACGCTCTATCCACTGAGCCAAACCGGTTTCGGCTAAACTGCCCACTCTTAAATTTGGAGTAATATAGTCAGATTAAGTTTCTTTGATAAGATTCTATATAAGAAAAATATATTTTACTAATTTTCCACTTCATGTCTTAAATTGGAAAGTCATCATTATGTTGAATTCAACAAAAACCTGTTAATAAAAGAAGTAAAATAAATTTTATGGTAAATAATCTGTAATACCATGGATAAAACTTAAATATATCTATCAACTTCTTAATGAGATTTAAATGTATAAAAAATGCATAGATGGTTAAAAGCACTATTTAGAAACTATACCAACCAATGAGTTAAGCATCTCTCTCACACAAACACAGTATTTATTGTATTACATATTTATAGTCATGTGCCACATAATGAGGTTTGGGTCAACAACAGACCACGTATATAATGGTGGTCCCACAAGATTATAATGGAGCTAAAATGCTCCTATTGCCTAGTGATATCATAGCCATTGTAACTTCGTATCACAACACGTTGCTCACATACTTGTGTAAACAAACCTATTGCACTGCCAATCATAGAAAAGCACAGCACATACAATTATGTACAGTACATAGTACTTGATAATGATAATAAATGACTATGTTACTGGTTTATGTATATTTACTGTACTATACTTTTTATTACATTAGAGTATACTAGTACTCTTTCTAATTATAGATATCTGCTGTAAAACAGTATGCCATTAGGCCTGCAAGCAGCCTCATACATCTCATGTTTATTACATCTTCTGAATGCATAATTTTCTCTTATGTTTGATTTAATCTCATGTTTTATAAATTTAGTTTAGCCTATGTGTACAGTGTTTATAAAGTCTGCATTAGTGTACAGTGATGTGCTAGGCTTTCAAAATCCCTCACTACTCACTCATTGACTCACTCAGAGCAACTTCAATTCCTGCAAGCTCCATTCACAGTTAAGAGCCTGATAGAGCTGTACCATTTTCCATCTTTCATATCATATTTTTACTGTACCTTTTCTATGTTTAGATACACAAATATCATTGTGTTATAACTGCCTTAATATTCAGTACAGTAACAAGCTACACAGGTTTGCAGCCTAGAAGCAACAGGCTACATACCATATAGCCTACGTGTGTAGTAGACCACCTAGGTTTGTGTACTTGTACTATGGTGTTCACACAATGACAGAATTGCCTAATGACGCATTTCTCAGAAAGCATCCCCATCATTAAGCAGCGCATGACTGTATAACCTTTACAAAATCTGTCATTCCAGGTATTAATGTAAACATCATTAATAAGTAATTTTCATACTACAATCTGATCATCAGACTTTGGAATGAATTGCATAGCAATTAAATAGATAAAACTTAGTCTTTACCTAAATGAAGTATCTTACCATTTTAAACTTTGATATGATAATATTCAGGCATAAGTTTTAAACATGAATAAATGTATGATTCTTTTCAATATAAAAGATATATAGATACATATACACATAAATAATTAGCGTCTATAATTTAAATATTTTTAAATATTGAAAACAAATCTATTAAAAATAAAAAGATAACATTTGCATTTATTCTCCTCTTGACCTCTTCATAAAAACAAGAACGCTTGTCTTTCTTAAAAATATAGCACTTAATACCTATGAACAAACAAAAAATGATTTTAGAGACTAAAATAAAATACTTGTTTTTGGTCCAGGACTACATACCTGGAGATCTGGTCTTATTGGCATTTTGATTTAATTTTTAAAATGGCAGGTCAAAACAAACACCTATAAAAGAAAACATACACTCTGTATCTTACAATCTGTTCTACATATTTAAAAATCTTAATACACATACATATGCATTGCTGTTTATACCAAAGGCAATAAATATTGTTTCTTCAATTTCCTCGCTGTTTATGAAATTACTCATTTTAATTTGGCCAAAAAGTTTCTGGAAAAAAGCCTGAGTAGCATTTATTCAAGCTGTTACTGTTTATGAACTACTTAAACGCCAAAAACTCTGCTAAAAGGTCACAAAACTAGTGAAAGAAAAATCGGGATCTGCCTCATCCTAGAGTCTTGCTATATTTGTTCCAATTTTGGGTAAAAGAAGAAAAATAACCTTGAATTATTGTCTAAATGATATTCAGACTTATAAACACAATAGGTTAAGAAGGGAAGAATATGCGAGTATGTTACCAAAGAATAGGATATATGGGAACACACAAAAATACGATGAGAAGAGTGAGGAAAAGATAACCTAAACACATTTTCTCTTAAAAAGAGAATGGAAACAAGAAACAATGCAGTTACATGAAGCACCACCTACCACCTTAACAAAAGTGTCTAAAATTTCCAAATGCAATTTGGAGGTTAGCTCTATAAAGGAAAAGAAATACTACAATCTTTTCTAGATATCACGACTAGAACAATTTAAAATTAATCTACTATGTAACAGAAACACTAGGACATCCAACATAGAGAGGCAATTAATTCATTAATCCAACAGGAATAGAGGACTGTGTACTATAAGACAACAAGAGGCATTAGTTTACTTTCTTGCAGATATAGCAGTAGAGAAATTTAAGTGCCAATGAGGATATACATATAAGGCAAACAAAAAGGGTGAGTAAAAATAATCTCTTGCATTTCCAAAGATTAACTTTAGGGAAAAAGTTCTGATCCCCAAAGAAATATTTGCTCTATGTACATAGGAAACTAGGTCTAAAGATGTTTTTGCAGCATTGTTTTGAGTGGCAATGATTCAAAAGCACCTAGATGGGATTTGGGAATGAGAGGAGCATGAGAAATAAATAAATACAATGTGGTAACTAATTTTGTGAATATAATAGTCAAATAAAAAGGCCCAGAATTTTAGGTATTTGTATTAAATTTTAAGTGATTAAAAATATGTTGCTAAATGATACAGCGAAAAAAGAAACTTTGTATCATTTATATGTCTAGGTATATGCATGTACATATACACATATTTGTGTGTGCATGTGTGTAGACAGACAGACATTCACATATACCAATGGTCGGCAAACTCATTAGTCAGCAGAACAAAATATCAACAGTACAACGATTGAAATTTCTTTTGAGAGCCGAATTTTTTAAACTTAAACTATGTAAGTAGGTACATTGTTATTAACTTAATTAGGGTACTCCTAAGCTGGCCTTTGCTAAAAACGTCCTCGATCTGAGGGGTCGACCTCAGCGAACGTACCCCCACTTCTTCAAAATAGACTCGCCCAGGCCGAAAACTGACTTCTGCGCATGGGCCATGAAGTTTCAATCGCACTGTACGTGCACGCCCGCACGTGGTATTTTGTGGAAGAGCCACACTCAAGGGGCCAAAGAGCCGCATGTGGCTTGCGAGCCGTGGTTTGCCGACCATTGACCTATATCAATCAAGACAGTTGGAATGCTTATCAGGCTCATTGGAGAGGAGCAGTAAGGAGTTGTACAGAACTGTAAACTGTAAACTATTTGTCAAAGTAAGACTTTAGTTTTATTTGTAATTTATATTTATACTAGAGGCCTGGTACATGAATTCGTGCAGGGGCGGGGGTGGGGGAGGGACCACAGGAGGATGGCTGGCAGGCCCCAATCCAGTTGTGTACATGTGCTGAGGTAGTGGCAAGCAAAGACCACAGACAGAGTGCTCCAAAATGGCCTCAACACCAGCTATGCTCTGAGGTGGAAATACAGCTCTATTTTGCTGCCCACCCTTGGGCATCTCACTCTCCCCAGGGCAGAGTTGCTGACAGACAGGTCATCTCTCCTACCTCTGCTGCACATTTTTGGGGGGCTCTGCTCCAAGCATGATAGGTAGCTGACTTTGGCCAATGGTGGCACACCGCTGTAGGAGCACTAGCCAATTAGTGGTTGGGAGCCCAGAAAGGTGCGGGGCTGAGCTAGAAGTGGCTGACAGGGGCAGAAGGGCGAGTGGCACTATGCGGTGGTAGAGGTAAGGTGGTGGTGGTGCTTACTTTGCGTCTTTGCAGTTAGGCTGCTGCCTTGCCCCTTCTGCCCCCTCTGAGCTGCTACTCTGTTTCAATCAGCATCAGGTTCGCTCTCTTCCTACAGACTTCCCAGACCCAGATTCTCTTGTGCCCGGAGCCTTAGCCTGGGGGAGGGACTGGCCGGGGGGAGGGACCGTGAGAGGTTGGCTGTGGAAGTGCACTGACCACCAGGGGGCAGCTCCTGCATTGAGCATCTGCCCCCTGGTGGTCAGTGCACATCATAGTGACCAGTCATTCCAGTCCTTTGGCAGTAACAGTTGTTTAGGCTTTTATATATATATATAGATACCTTACTAAAAGTATAGTAAATTCTTGCCAAAATGCAGGTAAGCGACATCCAAAACATGGGATCAGTAAATTGTGGATTTGAGTCATTGTGAGGGAACTGAAATGACCAAAGCTAGCCTTTGCAGTTAAACATCTAGGAGTCCAGCTACTCCATCCAAATCTATCCAGGGCCTAACTGTGGTTTTGCCCCATCTGGTTGTATTTATTTACTCTGGCTTAACTCTAAAAGGGGCCAGTCTAATTGTGGTAGCTGGGGATTCCAATACACCAACAATGATTCCAGGACCTCTACATAGTCAGAAGTCATTGTATCCAACTCAGAGATGCAGGGACACACTCTTTGCCTCCCCAATTCCTAAAAAGGAGTTTGCCTATTTTCTATGTAGTTTCACTCTTTCATTCTTCCCAGGCCATCACAGAAGATAGAAATTTAGCCTGGTCCTGTTTGAAAATATTATTATCACAAGTTACAAGATTTTAGCTTAAAATGTGCATGTGCATTTATATATGCATGTATACACAAACACACACACACACACACATATACACACATATATACAGACATATGTATAAACTTGCTTCATAGATAGAACGTTTTTTAAAAGATAGGAAAGTATTATTTCAAAATGGAGATAAATAAGTATTTGAGGTCAGCAACCCATATCATCATAGGCCTGAAAGCTCAGGGGGATGGCTGTTTTCAGGAGGAAACATTCTTTGGGACAGAAAAACCAGGTTGAAAACATAATACAGAATATCACAAAGAATATACAGAAGATAAAGTTGGGATATAAAGGAGAAATGCAGACATTCCAATACCTATTCAATAAGAATTTCAGTAGAGAAACCAAGATGGCGGCATAGGTAAACACCGGAGATTGCTGCCTCGCAAAACCACTTCAAAAATACAACTAAAAGACGGAACGGACATCACCCAGAACCACAGGAAGGCTGGCTGAGTGGAAATTCCACAACTAGAAGGAAAGAAAAAAGCATACCGAGACTCAGAGGAGGCGCAGTGCGGAAGTGAAATACTAAGGTGCAGAGGTGCGCATGGAGTGGGCTGGCGGCGGAGGGCGCAGTTGTCTTTTTCAATCAGGAGGGAGTCTCAGGCTCTGAGCTCCAGTTCCAGGCGAGTTTCTAGGGACCCAGACTCAAATGGGAGAAGTGGGGCTGTCTGGCATCGGTCTGAACTCGAGGGCAGCTTTCTCTCCGGGGTTTGCAGCGGTTGCTGGGACACTGAGAGGCAGAGCCTCTGGGGATGGGACTGAGAGCAGTCATAATTGCTTGCTCAGCCCGCCCTGTTGATCCCCTGGGACCCGCCCCGCCCAAGCCCTGCACAGAGGCATTTTCGGGATAGCCTCAGGCAAAGGCTAGATTAGCACCTCCCTAGAGGACAGAAGTTTTCCCACTGCAGACACAGCTGATTCTCACAGCCAGTTGGCCTGGAGGTCAAATCCCTCCCAGTGTTACCTATAACAATCAAGGCTTAGCTACAACAAGACTGTGCACAAAACCACAAGGGGGTGCACCAAGAGTGTCTACCTCAGGTAATTGGGACACTTAGCACAGAAAGCCACTCTATCGACACAGCGAAGCATAAAAAATGCCGAGACAAAGAAACAGGACACAAATGGCAGAACTGGAGGAAAGCAGGCTGCTGGATATGGAATTCAAAACCACACTTTTGAGTTCTTTCAAGAGGCTTCTAGAGACTGCTGATAAACTTAATGAGATGTACAAGAAATCTAATGAGACCCTCGATGTTGTGATAAAGGACCAACTAGAAATTAAGCATACACTGACTGAAATAAAGAATATTATACAGACTCCCAACAGCAGACCAGAGGAGTGCAAGAATCAAGTCAAAGATTTGAAATGCGAAGAAGCAAAAAACACCCACCGGAAAAGCAAAATGAAAAAAGAATCTGAAAATACGAAGATAGTGTAAGGAGCCTCTGGGACAGCTTCAAGCATACCAACATCCAAATTATAGGGGTGCCAGAAGATGAGAGAGAGCAAGATATTGAAAACCTATTTGAAGAAATAATGACAGAAAACTTCCCCTACCTGGTGAAAGAAATACACTTACAAGTCCAGGAAGCGCAGAGAACCCCAACAAAAGGAATCCAAAGAGGACCACACCAAGACACATCATAATTAAAATGCCAAGAGCAAAAGATAAAGAGAGAATCTTAAAAGCAGCAAGAGAAAGAAAATCAGTTACCTACAAGGGAGTACCCATACGACTGTCAGCAGATTTCTCAACAGAAACTTTGCAGGCCAGAAGGGAGTGGCAAGAAATATTCAAAGTGATGAATACCAAGAACCTACAACCAAGATTACTTTATCCAGCAAAGCTATCATTCAGAATTGAAGGTCAGATAAAGAGCTTCACAGATAAGGAAAAGCTAAAGGAGTTCACCACCACCA